GTTCCCAGAAAGCAAATAAAAATTGAATGATATAAGTAAGCCTATTTTACTTCCAGTTTTACATCAGAAACCTTTGGGACTGGTAATAAATTTAGGCCACTAGGATATTATTTAAGCTATGCTGCCAACCTCAAAGAGCAATATACTACTCTCCTAGATTAATACCGGGTGAGTCTGGATAGATGCACTCAAATTCACTTATATGAATATATATATTCAGACTTTACATTTTGCTTAAATTATAGTATGACTTTTTAAAAGGAAACAATCCAGTGAAGCTAATTAGAAATGAAAATAATGGTCTTTAGGGGCTCCTGGGTGGCTCAGTGGTTGAGCGTCCAACTTCGGCTGGGGTCATGATCTAGCGGTTCGTGAGTTCGAGCCCCACGTGGGGCTCTGTGCTGACAGCTCAGAGCCTGGAGCCGGTTTCAGATTCTGTGTCTCCCTCTCTCTCTGACCCTCCCCCTTTCATGCTCTGTCTCTCTCTGTCTCAAAACTAAATAAACATTAGAAAAAAAATTAATAAAAAAAGAAATGAAAATAATGGTCTTTAATTCCAATAAAATTCTCCATTAGATGGCCCTGTAAACCTATAGTAAGGAATGGAACATGGCATCAGAAAAATACCATGTCCCAACTACTCATAAGGAATAGACATACATAGGAATCAGGAGTGGATGGACAAAACCTATTTTTTATCTGAATTGACAGTTTCCAGAACTATACAGAGAAGACATTGAAGAAAACGAGAGATTCTGCCCCATATCATAAAAGGTATGTTCCATAGGGATGATGATAATTAAAACAAACAAACAAATAAATTGGAATGCTGAATTCATTTTCCAGTGTTGCCGTAAGAAAGCACCATAGACTGGGTGGCTTAAACAACAGAAGTTTATTTCCTCACAGTTCTGGAATTGATAAGTTCAAGACCAAGGTGATGGCAGGGTTAGTTTCTTCTGAAGACCTCTCTCCTGGGCTTCTAAATGGCCATCATCCTTCAGTGTCTTTATATGATCTTCTCTATGTGTTTGTTTGTGTCCTAATCTCTCCTTATAAGAATATTAGTCATACTGGTTAGGGCTCATCCATAAAACCTTATTTCTTCTGAATTGCTTTTTTGAAGGTCCTATCTCCAAATTCAGTCACATTCTGAAAGGCTAGGGCTTAGGACTTCAACATGTGAATTTGGGGGGAAACACAATTCAACCCATAGCAGATATCAATAGCCACCAATATTTTTTTAATGTTTATTTATTTATTTTGAGAGAGAGAGAAAGGCAGAGAGAAAGGAAAGAGAGAATCTCAAGCAGGCTCCATGCAGTCAGCACAGAGCCCAACGTGGGGTTCGATCTCAGGACCCTGAGATCATGACCTGAGCCAAAAGCATCGGCTGCTTAACCAATTGAGCCACCCAGGAGTCTCTAATATTTTTAAAGAAAAAGATATTAAAGGAATTGGTTCATTTGAAAGAATATGTTTCTTTTATCTCCTTAACTTATCTTCTCAGACAAATCATCTAATTTCCAGGGTCTGAAGTTCAATTATAAAATGAAAAGGGGCGCCTGGGTGGCTCAGTCGGTTAAGCATCCTAATTCAGCTCAGGTCATGATCTCATGGTTTGTGGGTTTGAGCCCCGCATCGGGCTCTGTGCTGACAGCTCGGAGCCTGGAGCCTGCTTCGGATTCTGTGTCTCCTTCTCTCTCTGCCCCCCCCCCCCACTTGTGTTCTGTTTCTCTCTGTCTCTCAAAAATAAATAAATGTAAAAAAAAAATTTTTTTTTAATTAAAAAAATGAAAGGATAGGACTTAGCACCTAAAGTCTGTACACATTCTAAAATTCCTGAGCTCTAAACTTGCAATTTCCAAACAAGAAATAGAAGAACATACAAGATTTTGTCCACCAGTAGCAGTTTATATGCATCGGTTTTTTAAAATTCTCATTCACAGACTGCAAGCCTACATGGAGAGAACCAAGGAAGATTCAGACTGAATACCCAGAGCCAGATGATGTCAGTGGACTCCAGAAGCTAGAAGTCAAGGTACCTTGAGGTCAGAAGTAATAATCCGAGAAGAGTCAGAAAAGGCCATTAGCACAAGTCAAAACAAAGCAAAGGGTTAGCAGATTCAATTCAACAATGAGCAAGGGTCCTATCAGGCACCCTCAGTACAAATGTACACAGTTAAGACAGTGGTGTTTACAGGGAATTGTGGGCAAGGAAAAGAGGCTCTGAGCCCAATCTGTGCTGTCAAGAGAAGTTTCCTAAAGATGATAACCCCTATGCTGAGTCTGAAATAAGAGTGACAATTCAGATCAATAAAAGGAGTCATCCTCAACATATTGTTGTAAGAAAAAACAAACAAACATAAAGATAAAATAGTGTTGCCTGGAAATGGTCTTGACTTTGATACATTATATTAACTTATGTAGTTCAATTAATTTTCGTTAATGATCTATTTTGCTTTTGTTACTGAGAGACAGATTACCCAGAGGAAAAGCTGAACTTCTTTTAGGAGTTTTAATTTAAACTATGTAATTGTTACTATGAGCCACAAGAGGGCAGCAGTTTCAAAGACTACAACAAAACTTAAAAATTATTATTCTGAGAGTTTTAAATTAGAACTTTAGGGCTGGAAGAAAACTAAAGAGATGCCTCTTTTATATAAGAAATTTCATTTTATTCCATATAAATCATGTGTAGCCATATAAAGTATATCTGCTCTATTTTAAGATAGAAAATGTGTATAAAATTATTTACAAATATAAAATTATTATAGTTGTAATAACTATTAATAACTAATAATAATTATAGTTATAACATAACTATATATGCATAATTCTTTGCACCTTTAAAGTACTTTCATAAATGTAACATTTATTTATTCACATATCATAAAGCCCTGTGAAATAGACGTGCCAGATATCAGTAAGTCCTTTTGTAGATGAAGAACCTGAGGCTAAAGAAAATAAGTGACTTGCCCAAGTTAACACCACCAATAAGTAGAAAAGGTAGAACCTCACTCAGCATATTTTCTGTTGTTTTACACAACTGCCTGTCAACCAACGAAATAATAATATCCTTGGGCTTGTTCAGATAGGAATTTGGAATATTATTTGAATAGAGTTCTGCTATAACAGAACTCTAGTTTTATACTTGTCAATAAGATCTTTCCTAGATCTTGCCAACAGTGTTCTCTGTTTAATTCTTAACATTTAAAAGTAAACTTTGTTTTCATCTGAGAGAGGATGAAAATAGAAGTGAGGTTTAAAGTAAAACAGAAAGTATTTGCAGAGGTCAATGATTAGGAGAAAGACGAGGCAGATGTAAATGCTGAGGGAACAGGCTGTTACCTCAAACACTGCCACGTTCCTAAAGCCACTCAATTTTGCATGTTACCAAAGAGATAAATTTATTAGCATTGCTTATCAGACCTAGTGTTTCACTGTGTTATCTTTTGGTGAATAGCATATTACCATATAGCTATTTAATAGACTCAATATCTGACACCTAAAACTGCTGTTAGAGAGGAAGGGTGACTTGAGTAACAGAACATATAATAACACCCACAAACAGTATATAAAAAGTTATATTAAGAAAATTTGCTTAAAGTTAATGTCATAAATAATCATAGAGAAGTCAAAGACTGTTATTTCTTTGGATGAAAAGACCCTGCTCAAATAAAAAAACTATTGAGGCTACTCTTAATTTTATTTTTAAGCTTTTATTTATTTATTTTGAAAGAGAGAGAGAGAGCACAGCAAGAGAGGGATGGAGACAGAGAGGGAGAGAGAGAATGTCAAATCCCAAGCAGGCTCTGTGCTGCCAGCGCGAAGCCCCTTGCAGGGCTCGATCCCATGAACCATGAGATCATGACCAGAGCCAAAACCAAGAGTCAGACGTTTAACTGACTAAGTCATCCAGGTGCCCCGAGGCTATTTTTAATTTTGAAAATTCCTCTACATTGTCACAAGAACCCAACTTCTCTACTTTCTGGCATCTAAAGTAATTAGTAACTCTCTGTTCCACTTCCTGGCACTTTAGCTGGTACTACCGGAAAAGTGGAAGCCAGAGATAACTGCATTACATCCTTGGGGTTCCCTTTCATTCACTCACTCATTCAACCCGCCAATATTTGTTGGGCATATGAGCTAAGCAGAGAAAAAGTGAGAGCATCAAAAAAAATAAATAAGTTATTCTCTCATGGAGTTTGCAATCCACTGGTGAAAATTAATGCTAAACAAAAAGATATATTATTACAAATTGTGGTGGTGATATAAATGAAAAGTTTGGTGTGCAATGATAACCATTAAATGACAACAGGATATCCAGGTTGGACTGTCAGTCACAGAAGCCTCTGAGTAGGCAACATTTGAGATTGGAAGGGACCAATGAGAAACAACTTCAAGAACAGTGTATCTATTGCCCTGAGTACGGAGTGCTTGGCCTGTCAAGTAACTGAAGCTTTTAATTGTGTCAATGACTAACACACATTCTGTGGAAGAAATAAGGCATAAACGTCAATTGTGTAAAGAATATACATCTATATTGATCATTAATGGGTGGGAATTAAAAGGTATTGCCAAGCCCTCCTCTAAAGAACAGAAATCAGAGACAGGATGCTGAATTGAGGGATTCAAGACAGTTCAGTTCTGCATTCACAAATTCCCAAGACCATCAGAGAATCAGATTAGACAATGCTTTCTCTTTTTATCTCATGGGGATGATCGAATGAGATAATATACTAAACCACAAAATTTACAGAGCAGTATGCACATTTTATTTATCCACTGTTGATATAAAAGCATCCCCAATTTATTCCCACCTTAATTCCTGTCCCAGGTGTAAAACATTATTCATCTCTTTAAATTCTCTAGGCCAAGATTCCCAAGACCTCATCCTGAGATAAGAAGGCCTTCCTTTTGTCTTTAATACACCTGCTTTTCCTAATAGTGAAAAATTATAAAATTAATATTTTATGCAAAGCCTATTTCAAACTTACGTTCCAGTGCATTATAAAGAAGCTCAAAATCTTCTTTTGTCTGAGGATTATGCCTCCGGTGATAGTCCAATTTCATCCATTCTTCTTTTTCTCTTATCTTCCTTTGTTCTTCCTCTGCTTCCCACTTCAACCTTAACATTTTCTGTCTTCTTAAATTCTCTACCATGACTTTAGCATGCCATCGTCTATAGTAAGTCTGTAACACTATTACCTATAGTTAAATTAAAAGGAAATAAAAAGTGTCTACCATCAACTATATCAGATAAGAACAAAAGGCAATAGTGATTATTTCTATTCCAATGCAAAAACTACTAAACAAACTGAGAGTCTAGGTTTCCCTCTATGCCAGACATTCTCACACACATAGGGACACATAAGCTGTGGATAATGCACATCAGCAATTTGACTCCAAAATCTAGCAAATACACCTTCCTGGGAGGTAGTTAGTACAATGCTTAAAAGCATAGGCTCTGGGGTAAAACTTAGTCTAAATATTTCCTCTGCGAGTCACTATTTGTTTGATTTTGGTTTATTCTCCATATAACACCCTTATCTTAACCCTGGTGCATCACAAGTCCTCAATAAATACTATTATTGTCACTAATATTAATTATCTCTAGTTTATCTTAACTACCATCAGCTTAGGCTCATATTTAAAACAAAATTTCATTACCTAAACATAAAGCAGGTAGGTTATATGTAGTAACTACCAAAGGCAGGTTAGATAAAAGTCTCCGTTTAAGAAAACAAGTATTTATTAAATTGTGAGAAATATAAATATGTCTGAAGTTATAGTATAGTACTAAATTCCCAAAAAACTTGCCATATAACTGAGAAATTTTTTTATTTACTAAACTCATAAATAAAAATAAAATGTGGAGAGGCTAGATCAAGATTGAGGACAGAGAATATGCTGACACATCCCTTTACTGTGACCTAATCTCTGGTAATCACGGAAAATCATATAAGCAGAAATCAGGACACTGGATCAACTAACGGAGACTTCCAAAGGAACAGAAACTTTGAAGAATCCCCTCAAGAAGGGACAGAGGTAGAATAAATTGAAGAGGAACCTACGCCTAATCATGTACAGGGAAGATGGAGAAGCAGGCTAGAAAATACAGAAGGGTCTGTAAGACCGTTTCAAGCCCTAAACCAGTGGATCCGGTGAGCAGAAGAGGTGTGTTAGGGCAAATGGCAAAGTGACTGCTTGAAAAATGCCAAAAGGACAGGCTTCTCTAAAACAATCTAGGAAAACCACACCCGTGGGTGACACCCACGATGAGTAGAAGCCCCTTCTTCATAAAACTAGCTCTCTTCCAGAATCAAGCCTTGGCCATCCCCTAAAATCACTGCGGTAAACAAATACGCATAGCACACTGGACATAAGGGATCTCAAATACCCTGTCTACACACCCAGGAATAACCAAACATTTGGGAAGAACCCACAAAATATAAGGCTCCTCCTCATTCAACAAAGAAAAGTTTACTTTTGTGTGAACAGAAATACCAGAACAGTGGTTCCCAAAGAGTGGTGGTCAGACCAGCAAGCTCCAGACAGAATGAAGAAAGTTGACCAGAGAAATTACTCCAAATATACTAAAAGAACATGTCTCCAAACTAAAGACATAAGCTCTCAGATAGAAAGGGCTCACGGCCAAATCTCAAGCATATCACAATAAGATTACTAGAGATAAAGTAAAAACCCTAAAAGCTTCCAGAAAGAGGAAACAAAGAAATGCAAAACTGACATCAGACTTTTAATCAAATAGGGCTTCAGTGTTATAAAGAAAAATAATTTTGAAAACAAGTTTAAATCTATCTATGTGGACTCGAATTCAACTTCAAGAATGAGGTTGATTCAACAGGACTAAGAGGTTTATCTCCCAGGCATCATCTCTGAAAAAATTACTAGAGAATGTGTTCTAGCAAGAAAAATAAGTTAAAATGGAAAGATTAAAGAACTGAGAAAACATTTCCAAAAGAGTTATCAAGCTAGATACATCTTATTTGGAAAAAGTCATATATATCAATATAAATATATCAAACAACAAAGTGAAGTTATAAATATATAGTAAATTATAAAGTAAGTTATACATATAATTATAATTATATACATACATATATGTATATAATTATAATTCCAGATCCAATCTGACTGGCTAGGAGGAATGAGGGAGAGGGCAAGGAAACGAAAAACAGAAAACCCTGCTAAGGACCTTGACTTATTCATGGAAAAGATAGAGCCTGATTAAGTATGCCTTTGGCATAAAAAATTTAGGAAACAAAAATTTTTTTAATTTTTATAAGGAACCATTAGAAAAACAGAAACAAAGGACCTACTTTCAACTATGAAAGAACAAAAAAAAAAAAAAAAGAAAGAAAATGTTTAGTCAAACTAACGAAGAGAAGAAAAGGCTGGTAAAAGAAAAAACAAACAAAATGTGAATAATAAATAAAAACCAAAATGAGATGGCAAGAATGAGTACAAAAATATCAATAGTCATATATAATATTGCTTAAAACAAAAAAGATTTAAAATAAATACAAGCATGAAATCAAGAAGCTCAAGAATAAAGTAAATATGATACAAGTAGAAAGGAGTCAGTGAAGACAAAAGAACTTACTACGTGGAAATTTCCTCCTATACTGGCTTTTAACCCATCCCTCTGTGTACAACTCACATCCCACTTTCACCTCCCTAGAAAACTCCTATTCACCTTCCAAGGTTGTATGGGGCAAAGCAGTTTGGTTCTTGATGCCATCCCCCTTGGCAGGCATTTAGAGTTTCACTTCCTCAGCTTAAGTAAGTCAAGTTAACATTTCTCCATCTGCTTTACAACTTTGAAATAACTGACTGACACTCTTCTCTCTTTTCATGTATTCTTCGTTCCTGTATGTTTACATTTTTTTAGTCCTTTAATACCATTTTACTGGAGTTTGGAAAGTGTTGTAGAGACTTCCATCTCCCCACCTAATATCCATTCTCTCCTACTTCCTTAATAAGAAAACCTCAATCTTATTGAGGAACAACAATATGAAACTTTAAAAATGTATTTGTCACACACTCGCAGTGAGCACAATCACATGACACAGTTTGGGCCAATGAGATGTAACTGGAAGGCACTGGGTGGGGCTTGCAGGGAAAACTCCTGAAGGTAACATATATGGCTCATGCTCCCTTGACCTCTCCCTTCTTCCTGCATAGATTGCAGACATTATGCTGAAGGTTGACTAACCATTGCATTATCATGTAAGTTATAAGCTCATAAGATTAATGGAATGGAAAGGTAAAAGGAGTTTAGGTTCTTGATGATATCACAGAGCTACCATCCAAGCCCTGTACAGTCAAAAAATAAAAATTAGTTTGGACTGAGAACATAAAAATCTATCAGGCTGGAATAACAGGCATTAATTGTCAGCTATGAAATTAACAGGAAACAATATTTCTTCCAAGGACATACTACAGCTATAAAATGTCCTAACAATCCCCTCCTTTGAGTGAATACTATTATTCTGTGCACACTGAGAAACTTAGTACTCTAAAATACTAATCTATCAGAAACTTTGCTGTTTGAAATTAGATAACCAAAAATGAAGCATCCCACTCTTGGCAGGAGGATCTATGTCAGTTTAACAGAGAGAAGCAGCCTTAACTTACAACAAACATGCTGAACTTCAGCAAAGGAACATTCCACATCTCTCTTAACTTTGTTACCAAAGGAACAAAGCTGGAGATACCATACTTCCTGATTTGAAACTACAATGCAAATCTATAGTAATCAAAACACTATATATTGGCATAAAAACAGAACTATAGATCAATGGAACAGAATAGAGAACACAGAAATAAACTCATACATACGTGGTCAACTAATTTACAACAGAGGAGGCAAGAATATACAATGGGGAAGGATGGTCTCTTCAATAAATGCTACTGGGAAAACTGGACAGTAACATGCAAAAGAATGAAACTAGACCATTATCTCACACTATACAGAAAAAATTACTTCAAATTGTATTAAAGACTTGAATGTAAGACCTGAAACCAAAAAAATTTCTAGGAAAAACAGGTGGTAAGCTACTTGACACAAGTCTTGGCAATAATTTTTTAAATCTGACTCCAAAAGCAAAGGTAACAAAACAAAAATTAACAAATGGGACTATATCAAACTAAAAAGCGTTTGCACATCAAAGGAAACCATCAACAAAATGAAAAGACAACTTACTGAATGGGAGAAACTATTTGAAAATCATATATCTGGAAAGGGGTTAATATCTAAAACATAAAAACTCCTAAAACTCAAATGCAAAAAAATAATCATAATAAACAATCCAATTTAAAAATGGGCAGAGGATCTGAATAGACATCTTCCCAAAGACATCCAGATGGCCAATGAATAGACATCTTCCCAAAGACATCCAGATGGCCAACAGACATATGAAAAGATGCTCAAACATCACTCATCATCTGGAAAATGCAAATCAAAACCACAATGAGATATCACCTTCTACCTGTTAGAATGGCTATCATCAAAAAGATAAGAAATAAAAAGTGTTGGCATGGATGTGGAGGAAAAGGAACTCTTGTGCCCTGTTGGTAAGAATGTAAATTGGTACAGTCACTATGGAAAACAATATAGAGGTTTCTCAAAAAATTAAAAATTAAACTACCATTTGATTCAACAATTCCACTTCTGGGTATTTATCTAAAGAAGAGGAAACACTAATTGAAAAAGATATATTAACTCTTATGTTCACTGAAGCATTATTTATAATAGCCAAGACATGGAAATAATTTAAGTGGCTACTGATGGATGAATGGATACGGAAAATGTGACACACACACACACACTGGAATACTACTCAGTCATAAGAAAGAATGAAATCTTGCCATTTGTGACAACATGGATGGACCTTAAAGGAATTATGCTAAGTGAAATAAGTCAAAGAAAAATGTCATATGATTTCACTTACATGTGGGATTTAAAAAACAAAACAAATGAACAAAACAAAAATCATAGATGAAGAGAACAGAATAGTGGTTGTCAAAGGGCAGGAAGGTAAGGGCATGGGTGAAATGAGTGAAGGGGGTCAAGAGGCGAAAACTTCCAGTCATGAAATAAGTAAGTCATGGGTATATAATGTACATCATGGTGATTACAGTCAATAATATTGTGAAGCATACTTGAAAGTTGCCAAGAGAGTAAA